AATTCAATAACATTAATAGTGATTTCATAATTAATTCTAACAATAAATTGAAATAACAAATGGATACCTCTATAGTATTAAAACAGAAGTTTTCAATAGGATAATGTCCAAAATTGATCCGAATATTACTGAAATTTCCACTGCCTTATAACTAAATAGATTCAAATGAAAAGAGTAATTTCGGACAGATGCAATGGCAATTTCATTAATATTGTCTTCAGTTTTGGACATTCTCTTAAATAAATCCGATTGATTATGCGCGGATCTTCTGTGACCCGGTTAGTGACCCGTATTTTTTATTAATGGTATTTTCGTAATATATCAATCCGAATTGTTTTGTGAATAAAAAGAAAATCAATCCGAATTAAGAACTTACCATAATCGAAACATATTTTTAAATACCCTACGAATATTTCTATAACCTCATATTAGAGTAAATGCATTCGGAATTGTAGAAACTAAAATACATTTTACCAATAATTACGAGATTTGTGATTTCTTTAACAATAATAAGAATTTCCATATTCAGATTTCCGTATTTGCATTTAATTATTGATATAATTAGAATAAATTTTTCTATGAATCTGAGTTTTTTGCGGAATTCTAAAAACAATTTTTAAATTAAAGAATAAATTTTTGGAAACTAATAAAATTTTAATATATAGTTATTAACAAAGATTTAGAAAATAGAGAAATTTCAAAAAACGCCACTTTTCAAGTGCCACTTTACAAAAATGCCACACTTTTGAAATTTTTACAAAAATGCCAATTTTTTAAAATTATTTCTTCTTTATATTATTTATGTTTGAGTTAATTATGTTCTATTATGGTTTAGTTTTGAGTGTTAAGGGAGTTTTAGGTGTCAAAACCTTTTTTACGGTTTAGAATTTTAAGATATATGCTTTATAAATGTATAATTAGTGACATTTTTGTAAATGGACACCTCTAAGTGGCATTCTTGTAAATGTGCACTCAAAAAGTGGTATTTTTGTAATTGCCGCTAGAAAATAATGATATATTTAATTTTAAAAATTTATATTTTCTCATTTAATCATGTTT